AGCGAAAGAGGGACTACTGGTAGTCTAATAGGTCAAGGGAGTAAAGAAAAGGCCGGGTAAAGAGTAGCCTGCTTAACCAGGCGTATAAAGGGGAGGGGGTGAGGGAGGAGGAAGAGAATTTCCCTCCCTCCCGCCCCCCAACTCCTCCGTTTTCTTTCCCCGAATTCTCGTCCTCGTCCCCTACCTGCTCCCCTTTATACGCCTACTACGCAGGCTACAATCTTGGACATAATAAATGGAACATCTGGACCACCGCTCCCCCCATTTCAATGATGCCAAAATGGCGCGTTTTTGCTCCCTCGCGCCTTCATCATTGNGGGGGGGGGGGGGGGATGGGGGATAATTGTTCCATTCTTTTCTGTCCAAGATTGTAGGTAAAGAGAGTCTGCCAAGGTAGTCCCAGGCTTCCCTCGTTATTTGCTTGCGCAAGACGTGAACACGTGAAGAGAAGCTGCCTTGAGTCGGGAACGTTTGTTGATTTTCATGGTGACGATTCTGAAATCCATGGTTTCTCGTCGCTTTACCTCTGCGGTTCACCTATCGGCAGAAATCATGCAACAGAGAAGCTACGAAGTAAGAAAAACATGTACATTTGTTGCTTCTGGGCTTGCAAAGCAAGGAATCGTTGTACAACAAGCTAAAATAGCTGGTTTTTGTGTTTGAACTTCAACCATGCTTACAACATAGAAGTTATACATCCCTATTTCAACTGCATGTGCTTCCTTTTTGTAGGAAGCAGTGAAGAAACTCAACTCACTTCAAACTAATGCTCAAGTCTTGGAGCAGATTCGCCGCAGCAGGGGCCGACTTGCCCAAAACAACTTGCCAGAAATGAGGGCCTTCACAGAACGAGCTGGAGTGAAAGTAAAGCAGTTTTCTTTTAATTTGTTAATACGGGAAGAGAATCTGTTCTTAGATAAACCATTTTGAATTTATTTATTTTTATTCCATTTTATTCTCCTTTTACCTCAATAGAAGCACTGCTAACTCGCACTTGACCTGAGTTATTCACTCTTGGTTTCACGTGACGTTATTTTACTTTCGTGACAAATTTTGGCGGGTTCGTCGTTGTTTACAAATATATCCCACCCGAGGCTTACAGTTGTTTGCGTGCAAACACGATCAACACGATGCGGTTCAGTTGGTCCAAAAAATAACACGCAAATTTTGTGATACGTACCTAAATACAGTAACTTACTTACAACTTTGTTCTACGAAATGTTTCGTGTAACTGGTCATGCGAATTGTAAAAGCTATCGACAGACGCAACACAACTAAACAAATAATTTTGCTCTGCAGATGGAGGATCTGGATAAACTGTCGATTATCCATATCAGTGGCACAAAGGGAAAGGTAAACTGTACACCTTTACTTTGTGCATGTTATTCAATGGGTCAGTTCTTAAACAGCAATTTACTTATTAAGAGGTTTTTTTCTGTTAGGGCTCAACTTGTGCATTCTGTGAAAGTATACTACGGCATAAAGGCTTCAAGACAGGGTTTTATAGGTACAGTGAAAATTTATTGATCGTAATGATATTGCCACTCATTATACATCTATCAGTGTCGATCCTGGAGGGGGGCGGGGGGGAGGGGTGAGCTATCCACAGGCAATTGATTGTGAGTTCTGACCCCTGGGTAGGGATTTTGACCGTGCACAATGTCCCCAGGATACGGAATTGGACACTATCATCATGCATCTTGAAGGACCAAGAGAGTCTGGTAATGAACTATCTGCAGCCTCTTGTAAATATCCAGAAGTCACCAGATCAGGTAGTGAGGCTTCTGTTCAGATCATGATGGAAATCATGTTGAAAGTAGTCAAAGAAGGGTTAGAGAAGTTATTTTTCATCCTTTATACAGGCAATCTATACTTTAAGTCTATACTTGTGTATATTAAAGGAAAGAGCTTTTGCTTGGTAAATTTTCTGGGTCAATAATTCTCTGCATGTTTACATATTCATGAGTTTCTTTGCCCCAGGATGTAGAATTTTGATACTTCTACCAATCATGTTGCCCCAGGAGTAGAGATTTTGACGGTTTTTTTTCCAGAAAAGGTCAAAATCCCTTCCCTTTGTCTTCTCTCCCCTCAGACGTAGCATTGATATTTGGATTAGCTTAAGTATAATTTGTTAAGGTTACTTAAGACTTTCAGGGGTGCCTTCTGGGAAAATCTTTCTGTGTGCACTGTTTTAAAGAAACCTGGGTAAACTCTACATCATTGTAAAGCTAATAAACTGTAGAATCCAAAAATAACAATATATTTTGCCAGTTTTGTTTTGGTAGGCGAGTGCAAGCCTTTAAACGCAAAAATGACCGTACTTGCTAAACTGAATTACCAGCCGTTGTGTTGCCGCGGACATCCAAACTAGCGGGACTATATCACTCAGGAGATGATGGGCTATGAAAGAGTGTGGGGCTTTTTTGATATTTCTATTGTTGCTTAGAAAATCTCTTTTAAAATTCAACAATAGAAAATTTTCTGACTGCTGTTACTCAATGGGACGTCACAACAAAAATATTTGGATTTTTGTAAAAGCCTCACACGCTTTGGTGCGCTAATGTCTGATGAACGTTTTGGTTAAGTTTAGTTAAAATCCAATAAATCTACATACCCTATTAATTAATTTGAATTGAGGTAATTCACTCAAAAGTAAACCTTGAGTTTTTGGCCTCGAAAGAAATTCACAGTTTTCGCACCTCACTGAAATGGTTGTCAATGCGGCCATGCCACCAAGCAATGAAACGCAACATAGAACTCCCCAGCAAGTTTCATGGCAAAAGAAGGCTACAGGAACACTTCCTAGGAAAGGTGCATTGTTTATATTTATAGGAAATAATACATTAGGATAGGCGAAGTTTGTCGTGAAACATCCAGCAGCTTATAAACCTAATCAGCCGATAAATGGAAAAGAAGGAAAAGGGAAAAAGAGAAATGATTGCGGAATAACCTTTGAATAGGCCTCCTTGGTGAGCCAAGCCGATTGTGGATATTAATTTTGACTTAAGCACACACATTAAAACTAAAAACGTGATTCATCGGCCTGTTTGTTGCACTAGAATATGGAAAATTTCTCTTCGAAGCAGAGGATAGGAACTGAAAAGGCTGCCAGGTCAGATATCTGCGATTGACTTTGCCAGTAATTCCGTGGCAATCTCATTGTGTGCCAAAAGAGGGCAACGATGAAATTTTCTTTGATTTGCACTTGTGTTCAAATTTGGGAACACGAATCACCTAACAATTAGTCAACAAAAACGTAGATATCTGTGTTAAAAATTACAAGACACAAGGGATAAACAAAAGAAGCAAAATAAGAGGAAAAAAGGTATGAGCCCATGGTTGAGATTGCTGCGAAAATTGTTATTGCTCAACTCAGTGGTCGACACATTCTAATTGGCTTATCACAGTTTACAGATTGTTTGACTTGTTTTTAAAAATCGCCTTTTTGTGGTTATCTCATTTACGTTCTATTTTCTTAAAATAATTTTTTAAAGAAAATTTAGATTAAGTAGTAGTTGTGAATTTTGTGTGAAAAAATTAATTTGCACAAAATCGTCCCTTGAAGGTCTACAGTAACCTTAAGTGAGGACGTTACAAAATGAAGTTGTGGAGCTTGAGGAATGTCGAGAGAGTGCAGACATTCTTAGCACTTAAAAAAGTTTTTACTGTCCATCCCCCTTAGTAAGGTGTCTGTCTTAAAGAGGGAACCAGCTCATTATCTCTGCATTACAGTGATGTCTGCCTTGAGAGAGTTGATTTTAGTCATTTAATGGTCACTATTTGGTGTCCTACATGTGTACACGTTCTTCTCCTGTTAAGCTCGCCACATTTGATGGAGGTCAGGGAGAGAATTAGAATCAATGGAAAACCATTACCCAAGGACAAGTTTGCAGAATATTTTTTTGACTGCTGGGATAACCTCTTAAATAATGGTGATGTAAGTAATCAAAGGAATTTATTAAATTTGTTTTTGTGTTGTGCAATATGACTTGTGTTTGTAACACCTATTTTAATGGTAACATTTTTACTAACATTACTTGTATGGGTCCATTTTTTCTGCTGTCTTCTTATTTTATCTCTAAGGAGAAAATTGTCCACAGCCTGTTGCCACTAAATCCAAGCCATGGTGTATATTACCAAGTGAACAATAATTTTGTCTCTTGTGCTACATTGAATTATTGTTAATGGGTCTTAATTAAGAGAGGTTATTGAAAAACTGTGATTGGCTAATAGTCAGGGCCAGATCATTGCATGTCCATGGGCATATGCGTACTTGCTTCAATATATATGTTTAACCATAATTGGTTTAATACGTACTCATTGATCTTGTAGGAGGACGGGAAGAGTAGCATGCCAGCATACTTTAGATTTTTGACCTTGATGTCTTTCCATGTGTTTCTTCAAGAGAAGGTAAGCTCAATAAATCTCTGAGTAAATGAGTGAATCAGTAAGAGAGGTAGGGAGTAGGGAGGTAGCTGAGGTAACGAGTGAATTAACTTATTCCTGATAAATATTAACTATAGCAAATTTATTTTATGTTAGCAATGTTCTCTAATAATACACATTTTGTTGACAATGTTCCTTTTTTGTGAATAGATAGTGTACAATTCACAGTAGATAAGTAACTTCAATACTATTGAACATAGTCAATGTTAACAATGTGTGAAATTAAAATGTTGAGTTGATTTTTAAGGACATGTTAGCTGGTGTTTATTCGTGATTATTTCATGCCTTAATAGGTTTTAAAAAGTCAGTTGGTAAGAAAGCTTAATTGAATGTTTTTATTGAGTCATTCTGAGGTATCCTGAAAGTAGCAACCATGGCTGGACAAAATTTTGAGTTTGTTTGCTTTTCCTTAAAATTTTTATCGCACAAATTTACTTTTATCAGTTTTTGTTCTCCTGCCTCTAGGTTGATGTTGTTATTCTTGAGGTCGGAATTGGAGGTGCTTATGATTCCACCAATATCATCAGGTATGTGGATTGTTTAAGATGGTTTCTGGCTTTGCGCTGAACATTCAAGCAACAAAGGCAAAAAAAAAAAGGAACCAAAAAAACCTTGTAGCATGGTTAACATTTTTAATACAGACACTTAAGAAGACCTTATCAAGACTTATAATAAGCTCTCAAGCTGACCCTGCAAGAGAAAATTTAACTTGAAGTTATCCAATATTTAATAAAAACAGATATTTCACCTCAGTTCAAAACACAGTGACACGTGCTTTAAGCATTCTTTCTAGGTTTGACTTAAACTTTCTCAAGAACGCTTGAGGATTTAATCGTCAGGTTACTTAGAGAAATCAGTTAAAGTGAGATGTTTCAAATAGTGTTCAGAAAGTTAAAGTGCTCTGAGTGCCCTTTTTGCTCAAACTTTGAGCAGACTCTGTCTTAATCTTTCTGTTTTCATTTGTCAAGGGTGAAGTTCAGAAAGATGGTTTGGTTTTGAATACTTCATCTGTTTATCCCAGTCTGTGTGGGTTGATTCTCCTTACTTATATTCATTCATTTTTTATATATACTGTAGTACTTGTTGGAGAGGAAGTGATCATAACAGTTCCTGTTGGTGATTAGTTTCAATTTTCTTACAGCCCTCACATATTTAAATTACATTTTATCTAATAGTTGATATTTTGAGATCAGTAACATTGTACTCAAAATAAGTTGGTTATTAGTAATATTTTCTATAAAATTGTAATATGGCACATGAAATTTATCTTTTCAAGGAAACCTGTTGCTTGTGGAGTGACATCTCTTGGTATGGACCATATCAGCACACTCGGTGGGACATTGGAGAGTATTGCCTGGCAGAAAGCTGGTATATTCAAGGTACTGACTGATGTTCAGATATCAAGGGTGATACTTTGTATCTGAATGGATAATAACTATACTAGTAGTAATCAGAGATTATGAGAGTACGTTCGATGCCCTCACTTTAACATATATACCTTAAATAAATGAACTCACTAGCTGACTTTCAACCTTTGTCTATTGCTAAAATCAACATTTTTCAACAGCAACTGAGGTTTTAAAGTCAGATATGCATAGTGTCAAAGTCCATGCTAGTGAAGATGTCACGATTTGTTTGCATTCTTTGAAAGCAAAAACTAACTCATGCTCAGGTTACTAAGGGCTGTTCATTTCAGCAGCTTTTATTTACTTAAAAGGTTTTGAGTCCTTGTGTATGTTCTGAACTTATACAGATGAGAAAGATGAAAGTTTCAGCTGTTTACTACCCTAGGAAAAAGCTTTTTTAAAGCCCCTTTTAATGAATCTTAAACTGGTAGTACAAAAAACAGCATTATAATGCCCCATAAGAAGGACCTTCTAAAGATGCATTATGGCATTGGTGACCTGTATTTAATTATAGGTTGCATCATTTTGCGAAGACTTAAGGCCCGGATACATGGTGCAACATTGGACGCAACAATTTCAGGGGTGGATACACCATGTAATTTAGCCATTGCACGCAATATTGCACTGTGTATCCGGGCCTCTACTACATAATTGTTGATTAATTTTTACTATAATGGATTAAATGTAAATGTTTTCTTGTTTTTAGCCAGGGGTTCCTGCCTTTTCTGTTCCACAGCCAGAAAATGCCATGAATGTTGTAGCTAACAGAGCAAAAGAATTGAAGGTAACTTTAAAAATTAATGATCTGGGAATTTATAGTTTATTTTGTGCCAATTTTTTTCAGTAAGAAAACAGGATCTCTGTAATATTTCTGCAGATTCCTCTTCATGTTGTTCCATCATTAGAGCAGTATCCAGGAAAACTACCAGGTATTTATTATGATTTAAAGCTTGAAATAGATGAAACCTGATGCGTAGTTTGATTTTGAACTACCTGTAGCTGGTAATTTAGAACAAGAATGGATAGTATTTTGATAGTTTACGAAACTGTGAAGAATGCATAACTATCATATTTGAAAACTCTTGCTAGTTCTCTCTCTGTCTCCTAACCTTTACCTGTGGTCCTTTAAGAAGATATTGTCTCAGTCAGCCTGGAATTGATGTGTCTTTCACAGATCTCGGCTTGGAAGGAGAGCATCAGTTATTGAATGCATCACTGGCACTTCAACTTTGTAGTACTTGGCTACGAAGGACACAGAGGAAAGAAAAAGAAACGGAAGGTTTGTTGCATTTCCTTTAATTATCCTCAGTGTCCTAAATAGAGCTAACCAGGCACATGTATGTGAAGGCTGCTAGTAGTTGCGCTGCTTTGGATGTAACATCGCTTGTTTGAAGAACTATTTTTTTTACGCGATGGGAGGACTGGCCCCATGTCTGACCCCCAACTTTGAGGGCCAGGGTTTTCTGTTAGGGTGGCCTTCCCTGAGCCACTTTCTGGCCCATTCCCCCTAGGGGGTCAAGGCAGAAAGTGAAGTGAGGCCCCCAGTCAAGGAGGGATTATTAGGATCTTGTAGTTTATTATTGGGAACTCAATCTGATAGCTGTTTCCTGATTGAAAAAGATGGCAATATTGTACCATGAAATTGATTATGAATCTTCACTTTTTATCTTTTAGTAGAGGAAAATGGAACAATCACAACCGAGTCACCTAGTGAAGACCCATCTGCAGATGAACCTTCAGCAAAAAAAGCAAAGTTAGAGGTTCCTGTAGCTCAAACATTTGAAGTTTCTGAAGTTTTTAGAAGTGGTAAGGATACTTTTTCATAGTGACCTAGTGAAAGTCCCTAAGTAGTGAGTGTTAGTTTTTAGAGCATTTATTCATTGAAACAATGAAAAATATTGATTCTTTATTTTCCATTTCCACTTTTTTAAATGTTCAAGGTTTGAAGAATACCAGATGGTGTGGACGAAATCAGGTGATTGTAAGACCACAAGTTTCATTCTACCTGGATGGTGCACACACCCCAAAGAGTATGGAGGTACACAAATTTTTGGGTAGCTATTAACTAGAATGGTGACACATTGCTTGGAAATACTTAATTGTAACATATTTGTACCTTACANAAGTTTTGAGAGCATTTATTCATTGAAACAATGAAAAATATTGATTCTTTATTTTCCATTTCCACTTTTTAAAATGTTCAAGGTTTGAAGAATACCAGATGGTGTGGACGAAATCAGGTGATTGTGAGACCACAAGTTTCATTTTACCTGGATGGTGCACACACCCCAAAGAGTATGGAGGTACACAAATATTTTGTGGTAGCTATTAACTAGCTATTAATTTTTGGTGACACATTGTTTGGAAATACTTTATTGTAACATATTTATAGCCTTACAGCTCCCTTTCGATAGACTTCATGGTCTAATGGCTCTGTTATTGCGGCTAGTTCAAGTTATTGTAACCAAGAGCCAAGATACCGTAAATGTCCGTGTCTGAGCCGTATCCTTAGATAAGCTGCACCCCCAATTTGGAAGTGCAGATTTTGGAAAAAAAATAAAAATAAAGTTTGAAGTTCCAATAGAGTTCTATTGCTATAAACAAACAAGGACAAACAATCAAGGTTTCAAACACCGACATAGAAGTTGTTGCCATCTTTCACATTTATCAAGTCTAAAGAAAGCGAAATTTCATTTGTCGTACCGTCTTTTTCATTTGAATTTACGACATCTTAAACTTAAAATGCTCTT